GGTCTTTCTTGGCAGGGGATCTTTGACTGCTGATTCAATCTTTTTACTAGTTATAGTTGCATTTATATTTTCCTATTTCTTCATTTTGTTTAGTTCTGCACACTGCTGTTCATGTATGATTTTTATTATATTGGATTAGTTTCCTTTTTTGTTGTTAGTTTGTCAATTGTTTTTATCATGAAAGAGTGTTGCATTTTGTCAAATGATTTTCTGCGTCAGTTTAGATGTTCATGTGGTTTTTCTCCTTGATTCTGTTAATGTAATTTAATGTAATGCAGTGATTGATTTTTATATATTGAATCATCCTTGCATTCCAGAAATAAATACTACTTTGTCATGGTGCATAAGCTTGTCAGTATGCTGCTGAATTCTGATTGTTCAGATTTTTGGTGGTTTATTGTGTTGTTTAAATTCTCTGTTTCCTTATCTTACATCTGGTTGTTCTATCCATTATAGAGAGTAAGATACTGAAATCCTCCATTTGTATAGAACTAATTCTCTCTTCATTTCTGTCACTTTTGCTTTATATATTTTGATAATCTATCATTAGAGTGCGAATGTTTATAATTGTGATGTCTTCTTCCAATATTGAACATTTATTAATATGTAATATCCTTGTCTCTTATAATCTTTTTTGATGTAAAGTCAATTTTATCTTATATTAGACTACTTACTCCTGTTCTCTTTTTGTTACTTTCATTGAGTGTCTTTTTCTACTCTTTCGTTTTCTGTCTGCTTGTGCTGTTAGATCTCTTTGTTGCTTTCTGTACTACATGTAAGGGGATCATAAATTTTTAAAATTAATTTTGCCAATGTCTGTATGATTAGAGAGTTTAATCCACTTACATTTAAAAGTAAGTACTAATAAGGAGATACTTCTGTCATGTTATTTGCTTTCTATATACCTTATAACTTTTTTGTCCCTTATATCCTGCATTATTTCTTTTGTATTTAGTTGAAATTTTTTTTGTAGTGAGACATTTAAATTCCTTTCTACTTTCTTTTGTATGCATTATGTAGCTATGCTCTTTGAGGCTTAAACATGGGGATTAAACATTCCAAGGTTCTAACACTCTAACTTGAATTTATATGAACTTAACTTCAATAACATGGAAAAACTTTGCTCCTTTTATAGCTATGCCTCCACTACTCTTGGCTTTTAGCATCATAAAATTGCATCCTTATATATTGTGTCCCTCGAACCATAAACTGGTAATTCTTTAAGTACATTAGTCTCTTAATTTGTATAGAAAACAAAATGTGAATTTACAAAATAAAGTTATAATAGGTTTGGGGCTGGGGATATAGCTCAGTGGTGGAAGTGCCTGCCTGGCAAGCGCAAGGACCTGAGTTCAATTCTTGGTGCAAAAAAAAAAAAAAAAAAAAAAGAATGCTTTAAAGTTATAATAGGTTTTAGACTAGTACTATTATACTACATTTTAAGAATGTTTTATTCTCTTAAACCATGTAGAAGATGAAAAGTGTAATGACAGATTACAACTATTGACTTTTCCAATTGCCCAGACATTTACCTTTATTGCAATCTTTATTTCTTTGTACAGCTTCTTGTTAATATCAAATGTTATTTCTTGTTTTTCAGATTCTTTTTTTTTGGCACCAGGAATCAAACTCAGGGCCCTGGACTTGCCAGGCAGGCTGTGCTGCTGAACCATATCCCCAGCCCTCTAATGTCCTTTCATTTCCACCTTTCAGACTTCCTGGAGTATTTCTTGCAGGGCAGGTCTAGTGATAATGAACTATCTTAGCTTTTCTTTATTTAGAAATGTCTAGTTTCTCCCTCACATTTGAAGGATGATTTTGTAAGATACAGGATTCTTGGTTGACAGATTTTTTTTTGTTTGTTTGTTTCTTTTAGCTCTTTAAAGTAGCCCACTATTTTCTGGCCTCTAAATTTTCTGATGAGAAATATGTGAATAATTTGAGAATTCCTGTCTGTATGTGATGAGTTGCTTCTCTCTTGCTGCATTCAAGATTTTATCTTTCAGCAGCAGTTGGATGATAGTATGTATTGGTATTACTTGCTTTGATTTCCTCATACTTGGAATTTGTTGAGTTTCTCAGATGTTTATATTCAGAAAAATACAAAAGTTAATTTGGGAGGTTTTCAACTGTTACTTCTTTAAATATTGTCTTTGCTCTTTTCTCTCTCTTCTTTCTACAGTGCATTACATTGGTTTTCTACCATGAGTCTTGTAAGCTCTCTTAATCCTTCATTCTTCTTTCTTTCTGTTCTTCAGACTTATAATGTCCCTTGTCTTATTTTCAGGTTCACTGATTTTTTTTTTTCCTTTTGCCTGCTCACATCTGTTTTTGAATCTCTCTAGTGAAACTTTTATTCCAATGATTATGTTTTTTAGCTCCAGAATTTCTCTTTGGTTTCTTTTTTAGGTTTTCTAGCTCTCTGTTGATTTTGGCATTTTGTTCAAACATTATTTTCTTTTTTTTAATTTTTTTTTTTTTTTTTCTGGTACTGGGAATCGAACTCACGACCTTGTGCTTGCCAGGCAGGCGCTGTGCCACTGAGCTAAATCCCCACTCCCCTCAAACATTATTTTCTTTACTTTCTCCACTCTTTTTTTACTGTTCTTTGAGCAGCTTTAGTGTAGTTATTTTATGGCCTTTTTGAAAACATCTGCCATCAAGTCCTTTTAAGGAATAGTTTCTACTGATAATATTTTTTTCTTTGAATGGGTCATAGTTTCTTCTTTCTTTTTTATGCCTTGGTTTTCTTGTTGAAAATCGAGTATTTGAATCTAATAATTTTGTAACTCTGAAAATTAGAATTTCTTCCCTTTGCAGAGTTTGCTGATCATTGTTATTGTTGTAAGTTGACTCCATCCCAAGGATCAGCTGAATCTAAATTTAATGTCTTTTCAGGTCCTTTTTGTGTCTGCCCCTTTTCTTGGGCATAGTCACTTTCTAACTTTTCCTGTACATGCAGTTGTTTTGGAACTTTAAAATATCTTGCTCCCAAAAGATGAGAAAGAGAAAAATGAAGAGGTGGAAGGAAGATGCTATCCCATAGTATCCCTTGGAAGTCACTTAACCAAGAGGGAAAGGGACTTGGAGGAGGGCGTTAGCAATGGCAGTTTGCTCTTCATCTGCAACTCTGTGAGTAGACTAGGAAGCAATCAATCATCAGAGCATAGACTCTAAATATTTAGAGGACAGAATTCTTGTTTTCCTGTCATTTTTCCTGCCAGCATTGTGCAAGCTGGTCTTGGAAAGTATGTATAGCTGCCTGCAGAGAGTCTGGAGTTGGGGTACTGTGGTAGCTGGTACCGTGCTAAGAGCTAAAGTTAACTGCAGTTACCCATCTAAGCCTTCCCGTGGAGGTTAGAAGCCTCTAGAGCTCTAAAATGTAATCGTATCATGTGATGATGGGGTACAGTCTGAGTTTAGTATGTGCAAAATCAGAGTATGTTTACATAAACTAAGATAAGTGTGATGTTACCAGGCTGTATAATTTTATGAAACCAGAATGATATATGTGGACTGTTGATGAACATAACATCATTTTGTGTCATATGACAGTAGTTACATCATACAGATTTTATCAGTATAATTGTTGTCTAGGTGGGGAGAGAGATTCCAGATGCTTCCTATTCCTACATTTTCTCAGAATTCTCCTCGATTAAATTTTATGAGTTGAGAATGTGCTCCCCTCAGCCTTCAAGAATGAGAACAGCCTGTAAAGGAGACCGTCTCATCTGAAGTAGAGGTTTTAAAGGCTTTGCTTAGTGGTCTTTTCTCCATATATTTTCAGTGTTCCCTTTGAAGAATTTAATACAATGATCCCAGTGGTGAAGAATATCTTACTGTGGTCTTTATAGTCTAGTTGGACTTAAATCTACTAAAAAAAAAACATTCATTCATTGAGACTATCACATATTATGAAAATCATTCATTTGTTCTGAGGGATAGAGGACAGGGGATGAAGAAAACTTTTAGCTGTTAGCTTATCCAGCTATTTGTAAAATGATGTATTTTAGGCCAGAGATTTGTAACCTGTTGTTCTTTTGGCAGTTTGAAACCCCTGAATTCATATGAAAGGTTTTGTCTGTATATTCATATATATGAATATAATTTGGATGTATATACATATATATATATATATATACTGAATGTACATGCATGTATAATACATGCATATATATGTATATGTGTGTATGGCCTATGGCTTCAATAGATATAAAAGTCTCAGATCACCAGATAATCCCTCTCTTCAGCTATCTGTAGGGGTTATGAGCCAGTGTGTTAGGTTATTTTTTCCTTTCTGAAACCAAATGATTTTAATGATGGCTGCAGTGTGAAGATCTAGAAAGGCTTTTGACATGTAACACTACTTCTCAGAAAATTTCCATTGAGTTTTAACGAGGCCTGTCTCTAATAGATAATGATGTGCCAGGCATATGTTTAAAGAAAAATAAGAAGTTGTGCTTTTGTATTTATGAAAAATCTCTTAATTGCTTGTTTTCATCAAACTCTTGTCTCACTTATACATATTGTTTTGCCTTTCTTTTCATTTGTTGCTTCATTTCTTATAATTTTAACTTACTCTCCTCCCATGTACATTTATTGTATCTTTTACTCTAGCTGCTATGACTTCTAACTAATGAGTAAGAACTTGAGGCTGAGGTCTATTCTTCAGAATTCTCTTGTAGCACCAGGTATGTCATTTTACAAATAGTAAGTGATAATAAATATCAGTGAACTCATGTCAGAAGTAATCTGTCAAAAATTTCCCATGGAGATTTGCATACTCTATTTTAATTGCTTCTACTTCTTACTGCTAACTAATGGGTATGATTTCAGAAATATAAATATTATTTTGACTCTTGTATAGTTACTATGCAAATTAATTTAGTTGAAAAAAATACTGATTCCTTTAAGTGTGTAATCAAAGTGGTGATACTGTTTATTAGACTGTTTTATTTCTGATTTTGTAGTGGAACTGTATTTTATTACTTATTTTGTAGTGAGGGACATAAACCTGCAGGACATCAAGGAGGATTTGGAATTGGACCCAGAGGAGAACAGCACCCTTTTCATGGGCATCCTTATCAAGGGGCTGGCCAAACTGAAGAAGATCCCCGAGACAGTTAAGGCAATCAAGGAGCGCTTGGAACAGGAGCTGAAGCAGATTGTGAAGAGGTCCACCACACAGGTGGCAGATAGCGGCTATCAGCGGGTAGAGAACCTCACTGTGGAGAACCAACCAAGGTAATGGGGAGGGGGTTTATGTTTTTGGTAACTTTTCTAGAGTGAAGCATAAGTAGTTTATCTCCTCTTGATATAATTTTCTTGAACTTGGCGTGTTATAGCTCATAGAAATTCAGATAAGTAAAAACAGCTGGACTAAACATAATTTGGTTGTGTGGTTTTTAATGTTGCTAAGACATTTTAAAGCAAATTGTCCATAGTCATACATGTTGAATAAAAGATATAGACATGTCTATAAAAGATAAATTCAAACACATTAAGTGAACAAGTAAATCGAATATAACAGTTATTGAACATGTTTTAGATACTAAGTAGTTTTCCAGGCCCCATGTATATATAATCTCATTTAATTCCCACTACAACTCTGTGAGCTAGTTATTAGAATTCATAATTTATATTAGGTGAATTGAGGCTCAGAGATTGAGTAATTACTTGAGGTTTACAGAAAAGGAGGTTGGACTTAGAGTTGAGTTCAAGTCCATTTGATTCTAAAGTCTCTTTCCTCTGTTTCATGCATTTTTCGTAGCATGTGATGATGTTGCTTGTAGACAAATCAGTCTCAGCAATTTCTGTATTTACTTAAAACGGATAAAGGGGGCTGGGGATATAGCTCAGTGGCATAAGTGCCTGCCTGTCAAGTACAAGGTCATGAGTTCGATCCCCAGTACAGCAAAAACAAAAACAAACAAACAAACAAACAAAAAAAAATGGATAAGACTTGGATGTCATAATTTTTGTTTCCTAAGGACCATGTTGAATTTATATTCAGATCCAGACTCTGTTACTATCCTATACTAGGAGATCATGTTTATCAAACCAGATTTGAGGGCATAAGAGATCAGTGTCATTTAACAATGTTTGAAATTGGGCATTTCCTGGAAAATAAAATATTCACTATAAAGGGCCTCTGTCCCCATGCCCCTTCCTCAATCCCTGCTTCTCTCCTTTTGCCTCCCAGCTCCCACATATATCAGACATGTATGAAGGCAGGGATTTGGCATGAAGGGAAAAGATCATGGAGATCACACTTTAATATGAAAATAGAAGGCAACCTGGAGCCTGTCTTCTCATTGGTTCAAAGCATATGAGTTCCTGGGAGGTGATAAGTATAAAGGAGTTAGGATCTTGTTAATATAATGTGAAGGAAATTTTACTGTTAGTACCTAGAGCTCTTAAATTTTTATGGAGAAATAGTATTCATGTAGTATGGACTTCCCCAGATTTTTAATATTTTGGAAGAATTAATGTAGTCTATTTACATTTTGTATATTCTTTTGTATTTCTAAATAACATTAATTTTAATTATATTTTTAAAATCTTCAAAAAATAATTCTCTGTGAACTTCATTCAAAAGTACTATGGTTAGTGAAAATAGCTGTTGTCTACTCTGCTTTTGTAAGTGAATGCTTCAAAGCAGATGGTTGAGGAGCGCAGGTTTTGGAGAGCAGAACTGACTTTATATTCCAGCCTTGTGATCTGTGGAAAGTAGTACCTGTCTTATAGGATTTGCTGTAAATGAGGGTGTATGTTCAAGTTGTGTAGTAGAGTAGCACCAGCAAGTACAATGCATGCTAACAATGTATATGAATACATGTGGTTATTTATTATGGTGCCTTATTCAATTTCCATGTTTTTTTGATCACTCATATCATGATCCAGAGAAGCCAGCGAAGGAATGTAAATTGAACTTTGCTATTCTTCTTTCTTTACCTAGTGCCTGGATTTCCATGAAGACCTTTTGACTTCTTATTAATGAATAGTCTGAAATTCTGGGTTGCTATTTGCCTTGTTGCTGAAAGTCCCTAGATGAATATACTGAATGTTCATAGGGAAGTAACATTACTATAATATATACTGGAAATAAAGCGAAACGGCACAGATAATAACTCTTCTGCAGATCTCATTACAGTACTTTTAAAAACATTTTGTCTTTCATAGGATTTTGACCTCTTCCTCTTGTGTTGCCTCAGCCCTTTCCAGAATGTGTGAGTGGAAATTACAGCACTAGAAGTAGAAATTCAGCTCACTGGCCCAGGAAATACTAAATGTTTCTCAGTGAGGAATGTGTCAGCAGAAGTTTTTTCCCCTTCATTTTGAGTTTCATTTTGTTTTGATCAGTATTTTAAAAATCTTTTGCAGGCAGGATATATTGAACACATAATAAGTGAAGAAGTGGCTTCAGTCTCTTATCTATAACGTAATGCCATTTTATAAAGCATAAAGATCTGTAAGTTTTTGACCAAAAACTGTTTTATGACACAAGCTATTACAGAGAAAGCAAACATTTAAGGTGAACTACTTCTTTAGAAGATCAAAGATTAAATCCTTAGACTGGGATTCCAGATGACATAATTTTGAGCAAGTTTCTTTTTTTTTTTTTTGGTTTTTCTCCAGTACCGTGAACCGAACTCACGACCTTGCGCTTGCCAGGCAGGCACTTTGCCGCTGAGCTAAATCCCCAGCCCCTTGAGCAAGTTTCTGGTTGTTTGTTACAGTAAATGACTTAAAACTCCTCCAGAATTAATTCCTTTGGGTTAATCACAATCATTCAAAAATGATTACCATTGTTACTTCTAAAAGATTGGAATTGTAAAGAGGATATTGTCAAATATCCCTTGAAGCTTGCATGGTTTGTGTGTATCAAACTTTTAAGAAGATATTAAGTGACATTTATTTCAGAGACAAGTAAAAATCACAACACTTGGCATAATTATTATTATTGTTATTCAAGAAGTTTTATGATTAAGGGATTAAGACATAAAAATTTGTTTTCCTTAAGGAAAAGTTGTAGCATAGGCAAAAATCCCCCCATGAATCCTCCCTCCCCAGTATGCATATTCTTTCCCACCCTGAAAGAAATAGCCTATTCCACATTAGCATGTTTGACGCAGGATACCACTGTAGCTTTCCCTAAAAGTTTCATTGTTCTTCATCATCATGTTAAATGTATTCTGCTATGATGCATTGCTAGCCTGTTTTCATTTGGCTTTATGCAAAGAGAATTAATGTTGTGTGCTATTTTACTAAGAAACCAGCCTAGGGAATTCTGCCTTGCCTCTTTTTTTTTTTTTTTTTTTTGCCTTGCTTTAATTCCTATGATGCCAGAGTATTTCCTCAGTTTTTATAAAGTCACTTTGATGACCCACTTATTTTATTTTTGTCTCCTAATCTATGGTGTATTTCTCAGAGAAATATTTTATCTTTTTTCTTCATTTATAATCTTTTGGTGTCTGTATGCCTCCACACACTATTAAAAGAAAATATTCCGCTAGTATTGTCCATTTGATAAACTTTAGGGTACTAGGTGCCTACCAGAACCACCTGCTACCCATTATTTTTCCAGAAGGATGGGCAGTGTCTTCAGCTTCAGATGGTAATGTGTCCTGCAGTTCAGAACCAGTTTCTTCAACTCCTGCTGCTTAATTGTGGATTCTTTCCTAAAATCTAGCTCAGAAGTATTTTTCTATCATTTGGGTCAAAGAAGCTAGAAAGAGTTGAATGATATTTAACAAATAAAAACATTTGGAAGAAATGGAAAAAATTCTCCTCAAAGGTGTGAAATCCTGTGAAGAATAAGAGAGAGAGGAGAATGTGGGGAAAGAGAGTGATTGGCAGATATAAGGCAACTCTCCATCTATTTAAAAATTGGCCTCTTTGTATGCAAAGGCAAAAATTCATTGCAGGAGATGCTGACGTCCAGTTATACTTTGGCGAAACTGTTAGTCTTGAAGAGAGCAGGAAGATTTAAGTATGTAGGCACCATGGCTGCCAGGAAGACCTTTCTTTTCGAAGGAGACCATTTTGCAATGTTCATTGACCTCTATTATGAAGAGCAAAGATTAACTATAAACCATGAAAAGCAGAGAAAATTGCATGCCTTGTGCTGACTGTGATATGATAGAAAGCCATAGAAAACAGGGAAATACCCTTTAGAACTTAAAGTAGTTATGTTAGGGTTATAAAGCCATATGTTTTGTATGACCCCTCCGTGCTACTTTATGACTTTATCAAGTTATATTGAGAAAATTATTAAATACTAATTTAAATACTTATTCAAGTTATTTTAATCAGAAGAAATCATTAAAAGTGAAAATCCCTGTGGGGTTATGAATGTCCACACTACCTTTTAGTGGGGAAAAATGTATGTAGTGTTTATTTTTAGACCAACTAGATATTATTTAAATTTCTTTTCAAGATAATATATGTCTATCTGTGTGTGTTTGGTTAGTTTTCTGACTCCCTCTAGAATGGAAAAGAAGAGAGGACAATTTTCCTTTTTCAACACTATGCCTCCAGAATCTAGCACAGTGTCTACCTGACCCATAATAAGTATTTGTTGAATGCAAAAATGATTTGCATATGTTATATCTGCCAGGGATCAGACATTAGTCAAAAATGTTAAACAAAACAGACATGGTTGCAGTCCTCATGGAATAGCTTAAAGCGGGAAGAAAGGCTTTAATCTAAGAACCCTATGGTAATAGCTATAAAGAACAAGCAAAGTGTGTCATAAAAGCATATGACCATGGATACCTTGTCTAGTCTGGGTAGATAGGCCTTAGGAAGGAGCTTGTATTATTATTTTTATAATAACGTAAGGCACCTTTTATTACTGTTGTATAATGTTTTTGTCAAGCTGCATTCATTTGCTGGAACTTATCACTCGGTCTTCTACATGTGCAGTTAGCATGACATTGGCATCTGTGGTGGGAGAAGAACAGAGACCAGGTTTTTCATGTACCATTTTCAGATCTTGCTGACCTCTCTGGTGAAGTAACTTTTGATGTGTTGCAAATATGCTTTTCTTAGAGATGACAGTAGTTTTTTATGCTGTGGATAATGTTTGATTCTTATATGTATTCCTTTGCCGGTATATTGCATCATCATGTGTTTTTTTCTGATAGGTGAAAGGTAGTATTTCTAGCACGGTTTGAATTTGCATTTTTCTTATGAGTGAAATTAAACTTTTCATTTGTATAAAAATAATTTGCTTTTGTGAT